CTCTTATAGTTTGATCTTCGTCATAGATCGAGCTACGACGGTTTAGCGCTATATTTCGGCCCGATTCAATTCATATCAACTAACAACTAACTTTACTTTCCGACAATATATTCTTGTTTTATTTTCAGTCATTATATCTTGATTATATTATCATTGTTCATATACTTGTTAATATTATCTTGATTATACTATTGTGGATATTATCTTGATTATATTGTTATATATCTTGCCATATTATTCACATTGTTCATGTCATCTTTATATTGTTCATATATTACTCACACTATTTGAAAATACAATAATAACGATCGAAACATAAAAGCCTAAATTTGTGGACTGTGGTTACTTTTCCGAGCAACAGATTATTGGACTTTATCAGAAACCCTAACTTGGAGCTTTTGTCTGATTCTTGCTCAAGGCTTAGTTTATGACATCTCGCACACACACGACTTTCTCTTGGGTTACCTTACAACGAGACCTTTTATTTCATGCAATCCCGTGTAACTTACATGTACCCCTCTCCCATTTTGATGTACGCATTCATATTTCTTTGATTATGGTTTATCTTCTAGGAGCACCCTCAGGGACTAGCGTAGACTAAACCATTTTCAAACTAATTCTCGATTCGTCATCGAGCCACTTTCAAACACCCCTTGTAAGTTGATTGCTCGTACGCATTCGTCATCAACCTATCGCACACACTTTCACATTTCATCATGGTTTCGTTATTAGGAGCACCCTCAGGGACTAATATTTATTCTTACAACCAAACCCTTGATTCGTTGTCGAGCCAATTCCATTGTCAAATCAACCTTCTTTTAACCAACACATCTTTGTACGCATATAAAATCAAACCATTGATTCAATGTCAAGTGTTATTTTCAAACTTATAAATCGAGTACCTTATGCCTTGCAGTCCACCTCTTTTCGCAACTTATTCGATTCAATCATTTTCAAACGCTTTTCCTAAAAATTAACAAAAGAAGAAGATTCTTGGAGTCTAGCATTCCTTGGATCTTCGAATGAATAGCTCTTGAGGCGCACGCTTTGGGTTGTCATTCATTCAACTTTTCGTCTTAAAACACCTAATCTTTATTGAAACATTTTCGTAATCAACTTACGAAAGAAGGAGATTCTTGGAGTCTAGATTCCCTTGGATCTTCGAATGAATAGCTCTCGAGACACGTCCCTTGAGTTGTTATTCATTCAATCTTTCAAATTCAAAATGTTCAACCCTCTCTTCAAACCTTTTCAATTAACTCCCGAAAGAACTGAGTTCTTGGAGTCTCGCATTCCATGGATTCTTGAGTGATAGCTCTCGAGGCACGCCCCTTGGGTTGTTTGTCATTCAATCTTTTGTTCCCAAACCAAACTTCAAACTCAATTCAACCCTTCTCTTTTCGTGATCGTCTCCACGAAATACGAACACCCTGATTCTTCATTCTCGTCTGAATGTAAGACACGTAGGCACAAGATTTTGATGATCTTGGAGAGAAAAATTCTATCCATCTTTCGTTGTCCCCTCTAACCCTTTCCCGTATCTGAACTACAAAGCTCTGATTTCTCATTCTCGTCCAAATGAGCATACGTAGGCACAAGGGCCCCAATCCTTAGCGAGCACCCTATCCTAAAACCACCCATTTTCTCCGTTAATACTTTTCCTTTTATCGTACCGTTTAGCATTTACCATTGAGAAGAAACAAGCAAGCTTAGATAACGCCCATCGCAAATCATACTAAGAGGTTCCCGTTGAGTACAATGGACGTAAGGGGTGTTAATACCTTCCCCTTGCGTAACCGACTCTCGAACCCGGAATGTGGTTGTGATGACCATTGTTCTTGTCTTTCTTTTAAAAGGTTTTCTCGATATTTTCCTTTCCCATGGGATAAATAAAGTTCGGTGGCGACTCTGTCGAACCGCATTCCGCTCCTTTAGCGCGAGGGTCGTATGTTCAAATTATTATTAATTTTCGAGGTGCGACACATAGTACAAGAGACGTTGAAAATGGATGCACAACATATTATGAATCTAATATGTAACACGTTTAACCTTTGAGTCTTCAAGAGGTTTTGTACTTATAGAGCCATTGGGAGAAGACATCCATAGAATGTACCAGCTTTTCTTGAGCTTTGCAATCTTGTAGACTCAAGCTGACAAGCTGATAAGATAATACAGCTTGCTTTCAGTACTATGGACAATCCAAAACTTTATCACCAATTCTAAATGGTACCAAATACTAATATACAATTACCAAGTGTAGAAACTCGTCTCAATAATGAGCCCTTTAGCTCAGAGTCTGTGTCAAACCACACTAGCAATTGTTCTTCAGACTCTGTCACCAGAAACTAGCAATGAAACAACTCCAAGTGTGTCTAAGTAAAACATATTATGATTATTTATGTACATGAACAAGAACCTGCATAAATAAAACACACATAAAATAAACCATTATTCTTTTAATACTTTTGTTATCATCAAAACTAAAAGAGAAAATGTCAAGAACAAATCTTGTTATAACACTTATATGAGGGTTTAGTTACCTTAACATTATCTTCCTCATAGGACACCCTTAAGTAGACTTCATCTTCTTTGTTGGAACATGATGCTTTTATAGTTCTTCTTGAGGTTGACTTCTATCTTCCTTTTCTTCTTTCAAATGTTCCTCTGAAAGATGCTTCCTCTTTATAGTTTCTTAAACAGGATGTTCCTTCATTCAATGTCGAATCTTCCGAAGATCGTTTAACTACTGAATATGTTCTTTCAAAGGATTCCATTAGATTTGTTTAATACGAGCTTGATGAAGTTCACGATTCTTCGATTTTTGTTTATTTATCTTTGAGAAATTGAACTAGTTCGTTCAAATTTTCTATGATTTCCTTCTTCCTCGATTTTTCTTGAAATTCATGAAGGCTCCCATCTTTTGATTTAAGGATTGAATCAAACTTCTAATTCTTACCTCTTAGACATTGGCTAGTGACAAAAGTTCCAATATGATTTCTAAAATTTTTTAACTTTGAAAAAAATTTAAATGTGGTATCTTTATCATCTTTGCCTCGCACGTTCATTTCCTCTTGCTTGATACTTAGAGAAACACCATGTATCATTTCAAGAGTATCCCACATTTTCTTAGCGGTTTTGCAATTGTGAACATAGAAAAATTTAATATCATCTATTACATTACTATAAAACTATTGGCTTTTAAATATATTACAAAATTTCTCTCTTTTTTTCTTTGGTCTAGAGGAAATCAGATTTATCTACTACTTTTCCATTTACTTGGTAAGTAGGTATAATGAACCATTGATTATAGTTTACCATAATTCATGATTTATACTTTGAATAAAAACTATAAACCTAGTTTGCCATATTTCAAATCTACTACTATTAAAAGGTTGTAGTGTGTTTAGAAAAGATCTCTTATTGGAAGTCATCTTCCGCTTGAGAGCGTTAATCCTTAAACAATAGTTAAGCTCTGATGTCACTTGTTGGATATGTGACTTCACACACTAGAGGGGGTGAATTGTGTGTTTTAGAAAAACTTGATTTTGAAAAACTTGTAGAATTAATTTCAGCGTTTAAAAACATTTTAGAAAAGTTTTAGAATTAAGCAGCGGAAAAATAAAATTCATAAAGTAAAATGCATAAAGTCAAAGTTGAGAAAAGAGAGAAGACACCAAAAGTTATACAGGTTCAGTAAAAAAATGACTTAGTCATATTCCCAAAATTTGATCTTGAGAGTATCCAATAAAACTTAAGATCTTTTAGTAGGTTGAACTCTGGAACCCCTTATACAAGAAAAATGAAGTTTGTGACTAACTTCCAACCAAACAGAAAACGCAGGAGTAAGAAACCCTGTTTGGTGATGTTTTTCATGAGGTGAGAGCAAGCTCACAAGAGCGAGAAACTTTGTATCTAGGGATATTTAGTGGTGAATTCAGAGCATCTATTTTCTCAACTCTAAAGTTGAGGTATTTATAAAGATCTATGGACCTGACTTTAGGGTTTCTCGATATTCACAATCGCTCACCCTAGTAATAGTAGTGGATCTTGGATCCCTCTTTCCTATGGAGACTTGTGTAATTCCATAAACTTATTTTTCATTAATTCTAACGCAGACTCATAATTTCCCACGTCTCTATCCTAAGTGAGTGAGGCAATATCTTCTCTTCGTAGATGATATGATCATGTCGCTCTTTGCAGATGATAAGATCTCAATGTTCATTGTGGGCCCTAAAAAAATTAAAATAATTTAAATCAATTTTTATTTGAAGTTCTTTTTTCAAAAAATTGTTTAATTTTTTTTAAATGTTACATTTATAAAAATTATTTAAAAAAGTAAACAAACATAATTTTATTATTGACACCACCCTACTTTCTCAGAGGCGTTATAACAATTTAAAAAAGAATGACTTAAATAGTCTGTTAGTCCCAGTATGTAAGCGAGTTTTTAAGTTTGATTTTTGTAATTTATTTTTTAGGTCTGAGTCTTTATATCTTAATTTTTGTATGTAGTTTACTCTCTAAATTTAAAATACATAGGAAAATTCGCCGATTTCCTGCAGATTTTTCTTCAGATTTTGCCTTTAAAATTAAAATACACGTGAAATGAAATATAGAGACTCAGAACAAAAATAAATAAATTACAAAGACTAAACTCAAAAGTTCCATGACTTACCAGAACCAAAAATGTATTTAAGGTAGAAAAAAAAAATTATGCTTGAACAATGGTCCACGGTATACACCCTCATATATGGAATGGATTGACAACGAAACGTTACATTGTTTCTAATTGATACATTACGCGCGTTTGTGTGTTTTCGTTTCTTCTTCTATTTGCATATTTCAGTGTTACCGAAACAAAACGGTTCGTTTTGGTTTCACTCGATTCACGTTTTGATATGAACCCTAGTATCATCCTTCCCTCAACTTTCACAATTTGTGACTGAAAAACGCGATAGTTTCAAATCGAAGGCGAAAATACTTTTGCGTGGTGAATTTCGATGGAATTTGAAGAAGCGCATGAAAATCTATGTGCTATAAGACTCTTATACAGACTTCTTGAGGATAACAGTACCGCTTTGAAAGATTCGAATTCCGAGAATGTTTGTTTTCTTTTTGCATTGCAGCCTTTTTAAATTGAATTTCATTGCTATTTTTGTTTGGAATTCACTTTCTTCATGATGAATCTGAGTAGCGTTTGATTTTGTTTGTAGCAGGTGGTTGAGAGAGCTCGAGTATTATTGAAAAGTTTACTTGATGTTGCTGTTGAAGTTGTTTTTGAGACTCATTTGAAGGTTTTGACTTTTACTATTTATCGTATTGTACTCAAATTATTTTCCGTTTTTCTTCTATTTAGTGTTTTTATAAGGTTGCAGTCGCAGATGCGGTTGCAGGTGTTGCAATTGTGGTTGCTTCGATGAGCATTGCGGCTGTTGGGTCAATTTTGTTTGAGAAGAGTTTTAAATACATAGTTGAAAAACGTTTATGGGTAAATTTTTTCATTACATTAGAAGTAAATTGAGTTTTGAAGTTCGGAAATTATGAGTTCTGATGAAAATACTGAAAGAAACATAGGCAAAATTGTCTGCTGGGTTCCTAATGCAGCCGGGCATCTGAGTTTAAAATTACCGTGCGGACTGCAATTTAAAACCATGCTTCTAATTTGATTTGGATTCTGTTTGACTGAGAAATCATGAATTTGACAAAGCAAAGCAACCTAGATTGTTTGATTTTCTATTGGAGGGGTTAGGTAAAATTTGCTAAATCGGACTAAAAATACAAAGTTGAAATATGACTATCTTAGACAAAGCAGGTTGTTTGATTACGGAAAATTTGTGATTCTCCAAGAATTTTCTGCAGTCAAGAAATCCAGATTGTTCTATTTTTAATAAACTAATTATGTTCTAACTTTGATAAACCGAAGTTGAAATGTGAGTTGTCTGATTTCAGGCGACCCCGGTGGATTGACTGCAATATTTTTTATATTTACAATGGCTTTCAACTGTGAAGTTGAAAAATACAACTTACTTCTTTTTTGATACTACTATATTAATTTAAACTTAAAATTTGTCCTCCTAGAAACCAATAAAATGCACATTTATATCAACAGTGCTTCTACTTTTAGCACTCACCTAACTTTTAGGGAGGAATGAGAGAAAACCTTCTGTTATGCTATGTGTGACTTATAGTTTTACATGCTGATTCAACAGACCACAGCAACACAAGCAGGGAAGTCTAAGACATCCATTGAACAAGAAAAACTTGTGACCATGCCGCAGTCAAAGTCTGCAGTGGCAGATAACAATTCTCAAACCTCGGAAAACAATCAAACTCGAAGTAAAATGGCTTTACAGAAGGATGAGCAACCTCAACTTGAATTACTATGTAACAAAGAACAGTCAAAGCTGTCAAATTTTAGCATCTCTGATACTGGAGGAACGAATAGTAGAACACTTAGCAGTTTAAGCGAGGAGAATGGTATGATGCAGCATAATTTAGTGAAGGAACAAAATCAATCTAATGAAGATGCTTTACCAAACATAGAGAGTAATCATCATGAACAACAACATAATAATGTGAATGCTTTATATGGTCTTGGTAAGCATGCAGAAGAATCATTGCAAATGTTAGACACAAAAGTTGGTGAGTCCAATAACGACAGTAATATGCCATTGCAGAGTGCTTCCAGATTTTCTGAATGTCTAGAACAGAAGGGTGATTTCTCGGATGATTTGGTTAATGCAATAAAAAGAATTGAATCTCGCATTTTGGCTTTTAAACTTTGCTCGAATTTGGGTGAATCCAGTAAGAGCAACAGTGCAGTTCGCGATCCTTTGCACAAAGTAGCTAATTTGGAAAGTCCCAAAATACAAAGAAAAGACAGTGCTGCAAGAAGTCACTTTAATTGTAAAAAGTCTCTCTTTGAAGGACATAGGCTAATGGATCAGCACACTCGTGATTCAAGTTCTAAAGGTGTAAACTTGATTTCAGAAAGCGCAGCTGAGGAACCCTTTTTAGATCGAAATGCATCATCGAGACAGAGTCAGGTGGCATATCAGAACTGTAGGCTTCGTACAAATAATGCAGAGTCTGCAAAGAGTGTTAACATACCAAAGCATATTAGTACACAGTTAGTATCGGGTGAAGAAGAATTGAGAAGTGGAACTAGGATTCAACCTTCAGTTCAAAACATGGACATGATAGAAAGAGTCAAGTCATTGAATAAGTTAGTTAGTGGTGATGCCCACTTTGGGAATCAAGCTAGTGAGTGTATTCAAGGTTTGAGGGTTCCTTTGAATCAAGCTGATCTTACTAAGAAGTCTTCCATGTTTTCTAGTCAAACCAATAGGGAAAGTTTGGTCAGAAAATCTCCAATAGCAGGTTGGTCTAAGCCTGATCTGAATCATAAGGAAAAAAATTCTGAATCTTCCCATGCACAGAATTTACAAAGATTTACACCTACTGTTGGCCGAAGAGAAAAGCCACAACCTCATAAGATGGTGATAAAGCCAACTCTATTGGACCAGAGATCCAATGAGATTAAGGTGAATTACCATCAACATAGAGATGAATCAGTTTTATACAGGAGAGGAACTCATAAGACAGGTCATGTTGAGCCTTGTAAAACTAGGGTTGAAACCCAACTTCGTGAACCGGAGGAATCAATCTCTGACTCTTCTTCTCAATGGACTTCTCAGCAAGACAGTGCCAGTACTGGCAGTGAATCTGAGGACTTCTTGTCAGTTGGTACGCAAGGTTCCAAATCAGGAAGGATGGTTGATGCATTACATGAAGAAAGCTCAAAAGAGAGTAGTGATTCAAATTTCAATATAAGCAATGCCTCCTCATGTAGAGTTAAATCTCATGGATATCACAGTGAAAGATATCCAAAGAAAACAATTGGAGGCCTAAAGAGACTGAAAAATAAGTTGGGACTAATCTTTCACCACTACCATCATCATCACCATCACCATCATGATGGTAACAATGGTAGCCTTTATTCTTATGAAGGTCCTAGAAATTCAGTGTGGAATCACTTGCAGAATGTTTTCCATCACAAAAACAAGCATGGAATGATAACAAATGCAAAAGTTGAGAAGACAAGGAGAGGGGCTATTACAAAAGTTGTGCCACACAGAAACCAGATTGGCCATTTCCATAGACTTGTGGAAGGACTATTGAGACAAATGCAGCATTCAAAGAAGCCAAAGCCTTCCAAGCATGGTTTGGTTAAAGGGTCTCATAATAATGCACACGGACACGGGGCAAAGAAGCTTCATTGGTGGCAAACCCTTCGACGAAGCCGAGGAGTGAAGTTGAAAAACAAAGGCCGAGTCAAAAAACTGGGCTTGATAAGCCAAAAATCACTTAATAACTAAGTCTGAATTTGGGTGCACATTTGAGTTTCTGGTCTTGCAAGTATTGCCTTCTAGCTTGTGGCATTACAGTTCTTTTAATATAGGTCCTATCAAATTTTTTCATCAGGTATATCTTGGCTCTGTTGAAAGGCCACCTGGTGAATCTCCAAATTTGGTTAATGCTGGATTGGTGATTTTTGATTTTGTTTGTCCATGGTGATCCTGGATATGCTTCAAATATTTTTATACAGATAATAATATATACATTTCTTTGTTAATTTTTCAATTTAAAAATGATTATTCCTTTATGATATTAAAAGATCAAAGCAATTTGGTACTGTATGACTCGTTGTAATATGCATTTTTTGAATACAATCTATTGATTTGTTATATATAATATAAATAATCATGTATTTTTGTGCATTAAAAAATTAATTCATCCAGTGTTACATGACATGCTTACAACCAACATCAATATTATTGAGATTTCTTTTTGTTGACTTTTATTTTAAATACCAACTAGTAATAAACCCGTACGTACGCACGGGGTACGTTTTTAGGGTGGATATGATGTTGAACGCGTGACTATAAAAATAAGAAGTTGATAAAAAAACTTAAGAATAATTATAAATTTAAATTGAAATAGTAATAAGTGTAAAAAATGAAATTTAAACAACAATAATATTGTGAATAATATAATTAAAAAAAGTTATTGAAACTTCTATTAAAGAAACCAATCGTTTTAGTTTTTTTGTACAAATAGGGCAATTGTTTTATAAGAGATTATGCAGTTTTAAAATATCTACTCAATCTTTTTTAATAAGCTTTTTTAATTTTTTTCATTTAATTGAAAAAAATAATTGATAAATTTCTATTATTCAATATTTGAATCAATATTTTTATTTTTCCTATTTCATATAATTTTCAAATTTTGAGAAAATAAAATTTATTAAAATTTTATTGACTCACTACATAATTAAATCAATAATTTTATTTTTCTCATTTTATATAATTTGTACGATATGAAAAAACAAAATTTATTAAAATTTTATTAACTCAATACATACATTGATCAATAGTTTCACTTTTCTCTTATAATATTATTTTGTACAGCATAAATGTACTCAATTGTGTATTAAAAACAATATGTATGACTGTTTTATCGTCCTAATCTAACTGGTTATATCTCTTGTTACTTTAAAAATAAAATAAAATCAAAACTATTAAAGAAGAAATTTTAAAACCTATTATATTTTATGCTTTATTCACATGTATTTAAATTTAACTAATTTTATTTTCAAAGTAATCAAAACTATTTATTATAAATTTTATAATAATATATACTAATTTTATAAATAAATCTGTGTTTACGAACTCACTTGATTGTTTGACATAATAGGTTTTGAACGTAAATTTGTTTTTCAAATGATGATAAATAAAAGATATTAAAATAGAACAAAACTTAAAAATAATAAAGTCTCCGCATCATGAAAATTCCAATAAGAAAAAATTATTTAATTATTAAATTAAAAAATTATTTAATTATTAAATTAAAAAATTATTCATACGGAGAACCTATTAAAGCCACCAGCATTTATCTATTTCCATGTTTAAGATTAGCCCAAAAAAAAGTCTCCACATCATAGAATTTCCAATAAACGAATTTCTCTAGAAGATACAAACCTAAAAAGATAGATTCTTTAGGAGACCCCAACCTAAAAAATAGATTAAACTATCATGTGATCCGAATTCAGCATAAGCAACTCTACCAAACCTTGACAGTAAAGACTTATTATAGTCATCTTACCTAAAAAATTCTCACAAAATCGTCAATATTAAACAACAAAACTAAGAAACATCACAATTGTTGATATTCATTCAAAATAAATATAGTCCCTAATCAAATGTAGGATGAGGAAGAGAAAATATGGTATAGGTGCCTCGCCAAAATTGCATCAAATAAAACAATAAATTAAAGATGATATAGTAAATCCATAAGGTCCTACAAACCTATTTTACCAATAAATATTTATCAACCTCAACAAACAAAACAATAAATTAAATCATTTGTAAGTTGATTCTATGAATGATATCAAGTTTAAAAAAAACAGGTTGTTTATTATTTTTTATAAATTACTTGTATAGAATATTTTGCAATGCTTTTATTTACTATAAGAAGACAATCAGTGGTGCTTAGCTGAACAACAATCGATGATGTGACATTTATATTATGAATACATGTATTGAGGTCAGAGTCAAGTTCAATAAATTTGAAGAATTTTTCCTACCAAAGTTAATATCATGTAAACATGTTAACAAAACAGTATCTAAGTAACAGAAAGTAAATTTAAAAAACACACCTAAGCACATTTGACATCAAAATTCTATAACATCAACTCATCTCTAGATCATCAAGGTTTACTCACTTTTTTGCAACTGTCATAAATATTTCACACCTTAGAGAGCAATGCATGAGTCACCCTTTCTATATGAATTCTACTTAGCAGACATGTATAAAGAATTGTCAATTTACAAAAAGTTCTTTTTGACTAAAACTGTTTGAAGTCGCATGTTAGAGAAACTCACGTCCAATTCAGATCAAGTACAGTAACTAAAAGTTTTTCTTGTTTTGACATTGAAAGATCACCGGATTAAGGCATTAAAGTGTGAAGAAAGCTACATCTCAACATATAAAATAGAATTTGGTTGACTACCAGTACACAACTAATATAAGAATAAACATTCACCTTGAGGAAGAAGAAAGCGAGGAAGCTAATCATCTACATCGATATCACCAATAGTTGGAGGTTCATCCGGTAGTGCTCCCCATCTCTGTATCAAAAAAGTGAAATTCTGTTAGTACTAACCCTGTTATGTATGCAAAGTAATCTAATGGAGGTTTGGACCGTAAGTACAATTCTGATGTATAAATATGCAGAAAGATGAGTTGACCATAAATTTTCAGATTATGTTTTCCAACCTGTATCAAAGAAAAAGATAAAAATTATGCATGGTAAACACATCTGTGTCTGTTAAGCCAGGGAAGAATTTCTGTGATGGGGATGTGCCGGATAAAAATTAAACACATAATTTCAACTCCCTCCAACATTGAGTAGCTGCCTTTGTAACATAAAATAATTTACTATACAGAGAGACACAAAGAACTATAAAATAATAAGAGTAAATTAAACTTCGTTTGTCATATTCAATGTCTTTGTAAATTGATCAATATCAAATCACAAGAAATTCTCCTCTGTGTTAAGTGTTAACTGCTATTGGATGAACAACAAACCCATTTATAAGATGTTTATAGCTAGGGTTTCTTGTATGTCCCTTGCTGAAACAACATCCCTAGAAGCATATCATGTCTTTTCTCAAGACGAAGACCGTATGAAGTATCTAATTCACGGGAAAGAAAGTTCAAAAATAGTATGAAACGTAAGTTACCATATTTTCCAAAATCCATTTCTTGATTCATAATATACCAAAAGAGAAAATAACTCAATTTCATGTACATAAAAGATCTTGAATTATGATTATTTTCTCGTTAAATAACACCTTCCTCACAAACTATATGATATAAGGGAAAGAGATATACACCAGAAATACACAGATTACCTGCGGAACTAGTTCCGCAGCTATACATTCAATTTTACCTGTGCCTTTATATTGTGAAACATTATTTCCTGCGAAAATAGAGGTAGTAGCAAATTTCGCAGGAATTCCTGAGACGTTAGCTGCAATTATACATTTAAAAATAAATACAAATTTCCTGCGGGTTTAACTGTGATAAGTTTCGCAGGAATTAGTTATCCATTGAAACCACACTGGAAATGCGCCGGAATCGCTGCGAAGTTTGCTGCGGAATTTACAATAAATTATTCTGCGCCTTTTGCTGCGAATTGTTAAGTTAATTTTTAATTTTTATTATATTTTTACGATTAATAAATAAAATTATAAAACATATTGATTCCAAGAATATGTTGTTGAGAAATTTTATAATTTTATATTAAATCTTAGTTTTTCTTAAGAAAGTTTTATAATATTAATTGAGTTTTTTTAGTTATTTTTTAAAGTAAATTTATTTATTTAATACTTTTTTATTGTTGTAAAAATTAAAAAAATAAAAAATATAAGTTTATGATATAATTGTAAAATATAAGTTTATTTATTTAATAATTTTTTATTGTTGTAAAAATTAGAAAAATAAAAAATATAAGTTTATGATATAATTGTAAATATATAAGTTTATTTATTTAATTATATTTTTAATATTATTAAATAAAAATGTAAAATATAATTGACATATTGATTTTTTGAATTTATATATATAATATAAAAACAAACTTATTTTAAAATAATTTTCACAATAATATTTTTTTGCTTTATTGAATAATAATAGTTTTTGTTTAAATTTTGTCAAAAATTATTTTTTACTTGTTTTTTAGATTTATTTTCTTTAAGATAATTTTAGTACATATTATTCTTATTTAAGACATTTTTTAAGATTTCATAGTTGTTTTAAATTTTTCAAAACATTTTTAATAAATCCAGAATGATATTTTTAATCTCTATTTGTTCTATTTTATTAGTTATTTTTAATGTGAATTGTGAAATTTTTTAACTTTGAATTAAATTTTAATAATTAATCTAAATTTATTAAAGAAAATATTAGTAGACGGAGTATGCAAAGTGTAGGATTCTAAACATCCAGAATTCAAAAAAGTAGACTTAGTTTGGGGAATCACCAAATGGAAAGAGTATAACATCATTACAAAAACTGATAGTTTTATCAAAATTGAGCATACTGATGCACCTCTTTCCTATTATAATAGATTACCTGGTAAATCATTTGAGACTTTTACAATATAATAAGATTGAGATTTCCAAGGCACTCTTACCAAGTGAAGTTTCTTTTCATCCTCCATTTTAATAATAGGCAGGAACCAAGGATTCAAGACAATCATGACATAATATGCATTGTAAAATTGAAGGGCTGCTGCATATGATATACCAACTAA